TGCATTTCATTTTCACCGCTCCACTGCCTGCAAATGTGAGTACAGCTCCAAATAGAACGGGCAAATAACCACACGAGTATAAAAATCAACGGTGAAATACGTTGATTAAGATTCTTCTTGATTTTTATCTGGCGTCACTTACAATTATAACGCCGACCTGGCATCACCCCAGACCCCCCCCCCCCCCCCTCCCCCATTGAACATGAAACAGTAAAAATTGGAATTCCGATTTGTCTATTTACTCTTTTAGAAGGTTCCAGTATACAATAGGATGTCTCTCAGTCTGTTCCACGCCATCAGAGAGCTACCCTAGTTTGTCGGTTCTGAACAATAAGAAAAGAGAAAATACATTTGTGAGCGGAGGCTGAACATAATCATATATAACAAGTTAAAAGAACATTTTGAATTATGCACATCTGGCAAAGGGACTGCAGATGATAAATGACGCTCATCAGCTAACGGAGAGAGCGTGTTTGCAATGTTTGGATGTTGAATAATGTGCCTTGTCCCTTTCTTTTAAATAAGACATGCAGTCAGTTACATAGAAATTAGGGATATGCCGTAATTGTACATTTTCTCCCGCTTTTTTCTTCCGTTACCGGGTCGAGGGGGCAGCTGTCGAAGCAGAGATGCCCAGACTTCCCTATCCGCACACACAGTTCCTCCAACGTATCCTGGGTCGTCCCCTGCACCTCTCCAGGGAGGTGTCCAGGAGGCATTCAGAACAGATGCAAGAGCAACCTCAACTAGCTCCTCTCTCGATGTGGAGAAGCAGCGGCTCTACTCTGAGCTCCTCCTGTGTGACTGAGCTCCTCACCCTATGGAGGAAACCCATATGGATCGCATGTATCTGCGACTTCGTCCTTTTGGTCATTAACGAAAGCTCATGATCATAGGTGAGGAAAGGGAAAGCAGCAAAATCAGTAAATTGAGAGCTCTGACTGCAGACGCTGCTCCATCTTCACCCCAACTGTCGGGTACAGCGGCTGCATCACTGCTCACCCCGCACCAATTTGTCAATCCCACGCTCTTGATAATGACTGTTAATTATAATTAGAACGCAAATACTTTTATTTGACAGAAATCGACTAAGAAAGGGGTAGAAAATGAATGAATGACTGACTGAATACTTTTATTCTATTATTCATAAATATTATTATAAAGCTAATTCTTACATTACATAATTTTTTATTAATGTGTGGATACTTTTTGTTTATTTTTCTTATCCTAATGAAAACAAGCACTGTTTAGACCCGCCCTCGCTCACCCTTCCAGCGTTCTGATTGGTCGAAATTAATTCAAATTCTTGAGGCCCTTTGCCATGTGTTTAACTGTTCTCCTCCAGCAAATCTTACAGGTCGAAGTTGTCCAAGGGGATGGACTATTTTAAACATATACATTACGGAAAAAACTTGAATAGAGAATAGTACATTGCCCCATGGTAAGAAATAAATATTCTTGTATGAAAAATGTCATGAAAAGTTGCTTACAGCACCTTGAAGTACCTTAAGTCATCCTTTAGCAGAAAAAAACTATAATTGAATCTTCCAAAAGGAAAAACCGCAAATAGACCCATTTCAAACCGGTGGGTGCATACAGATCTCACTACATTCAGCAGTTTTGATGACCATTTAAGACGTATCAATCCTATAGTGCTAAATGTGTTCCCCTGAGCTTTTATAAGTCAATGAACCCTCTCCGTCAGCTCTGTGATCAGCAGAGTGGGAGAGGTCTATTTCCAACCAGCTCCTATAACCCACCCTCCGGCCCCTATAGCCCGCACCATATCATGAGTACTGCGGATTTATTATCTCACATGGACAGTCAAGCATTGGGTTGAATTTGGAACATTTTTGCCTCGGTAGATCTGTTAGAACCGTGTAAAATCAGCGATGTGCAATGATTTGAGTGAGCTTGACAGGGGGGAAATTGAGATGGTGAAAGGACTTGGTGAGGGCATCTGTGAAACTGCAGCTTCTGTGCCGGGATGTTTTATGTCTGTTTCTATTTGTCGATTACGATCAAACATGGAAGGAAGTGGCAGGTGGTGTCTGTGCGCTTGACCTGGTCCAACTGAACAGGACCAAAAGTTTTTGAGTTATTAAATATTCTGTTTCTGATTTTTATCGAGTTACATTATACATAGTTCCCACAGACCAATGAATGTCACATGACCTCCTCGGAGACGCCATCTTTGATGGCACGCTGCTGTGTTTGTGCATTCCATTAAACAGAAGAATGAGAATAAATGTAGATATTCAAACGCAAATTGGAAAAAAAGGGCAACTTTTGAGCAAATAATTGTATATTAATACAATGGCACCACAGTTTAACGTGCTACGGACATGTTTTACATATTTGATCAAATTATGCAGCAAAAATTAACAAGCAATGCAAACATTTCTCAAAAACTTTAGATTTAATACCAGTTGGAGCTCCATTTAATTATTTTAATTATATTAACAATTAATTTAATTAATGCTAATGCCACACGGACACTCTGGATTGCTGTTATTGTTTATTTCCGCGTTTTTGACCGTATGTTTTGGTGAATGGTGGGCAACTGATTTTTCCAGGCGTAAAGAGCAGTTTATTTTATGACACAGATATTTTTACAGAAGCAATGCTGTTTGTGAACATTGTTTTAGCCCACCATAGAACTATTATTATCTATTTAATACATTTACGTTGCCCTCGAGAGCCTCGGACGCGACACCGATCCTCCTCATAATAAAGTAATCTAACGCTAAATAATGAAACTCTCAAGTTACCAGATATCAGCATACACAAGTTAGTACTGAGTAAATTACGTCTGTCAACACATTATAAGATACGATACGCACCTGACACAAAGTGCTCCAAGCATATTCTTGCGTGTTTTGAGGGAGTTTCTTGCCTGTTTATCTTCGCAAGCCATAACCTCCGTGGTTGTTCTGACAAAAGCTTAGTCTTCTCACATTCATGAAGTCTAATGATGGGTATACTGTAAAATCCAAGTTTAACGGAACCTCCGGCACGATTAGAACATCCATTGACCCAGCAGGAGATGACCATTTTCAACTTTATCACGACATTAACACGTTTCAGCTTCTTTTTCTATTGTTTTGCCCACAGCATGCCAACACAAATGGTGCCGGGTCGGCAAATCTCCGTATGTAGTGACGTCATGTGGGAACTATGTATAGGAGGATCTTGGAGTGACGTCATTGTTTATAGTTTTTCGCGCCGGTCACGTGACTGTGTGGCACTACAGCACAGAAAGCTACCTGGATGCTACAGAGTTAGCTATTTTTAGAAGTTTGTAGAGAGGTTTTACTAAATCAAATGGTCCGTTCTTGTTCTGTGGTCGGTTGTACGGCCCGCTGGGGACAGATTACGTTAATTCTATTTTTTTCTGAAAAGAACAGCGAAAAACGGCCGCGGTAAAGTGGTTGCCCTTCTATGCTGTTACCTACGGTAAACTTAGAACGGGAAGCTGGGGGGATGAGGGGATAAAAATTCATAAACAATTTTAATTTTAAGCTACTTTCACTGCGCACTTGTTCACTCATTCATTGATTCATGAATGACGAATAATTGTAAACATTGCATTTTGGTTGCTCATCCCCGCGGCTTCCTGTTCCACCTTTACCGTAAGTAACAGCAAAAAGGGGCAACCTGCTTTTAATGTGTGGCGAAATGCAAGAAATGGATTTTCACCACGGACCCATCTTGAGTGAAGGGTCCCGGGTTTTCTATGAAGTAAGAATAAATGTCTCCCAGTCCCAGTCCCAGCAGATCTGTGCCAAAGGCGGTGAGTCTGACCAATTTTTCTTCTCGTCATCCCAGGTCTCATATGGGCTTTGAATTTGTTCAGTTCGGTCTCATTTACTTATTTTTAGCTTGTCTTTATATCTCCTCTGATCTTCTTGCGTTAAAGTGCTTATATACAGTGCTACTCGCCCACTGAGTCTTTTAAAAGTACTCGTCGCATCCATGCTTCAGTATGAGCCGCTCTGTCTTCCTGCCACACAGCGAGGGGCGCATGCACACACGGGTCTCTATGTCTTTCAAGTTGGGTTTTTTTCACCTCCATAATGTTATTTAATTGTTTGGACCATGTTTTGGAGATCTTTAATGATAACACAAACACCTTTCCCCCACTACTTGTCCATGTATTAGCTATGTTTGTATTTGTTTTTTTTTTTACATGAGTTCTTTTTTGGTTTTGTTTTATATTTACGTCCTGTCCTGTTTCGTTTGTTTTATTGCATTTATAGTTTTTCCCCTAGACTTGTATTTACCACCATTGAATCCGTTTTTTATTCTTGAATTTTGGGTCCTTCCTTCATTTCAAAATGTGACACTTTCTCGTTTCAAATTATGACATCATTGCGCAGACTTGTAGAACGGTGAAATTGCAAAGCAGCCCAGGAATTTACAAGTACCAAGAATAATGGGCAGCTTTACCAGCAGAGAGGATAAAAAAGCTCCTCCACTTTACTGCTAGTACCAGAAAAGACGCCAAGCTGTCATAGATTTTAAAATACTGTATGTGTCATCATAATCGGAAATATGTCCAAAGTAGTTTTTCTTTTTTACTTTCTGGGTGTTTAAACTTTAAAGAACAATCATTCTCTTTATGGATTGAACTGGTATACCGCAAAAAACGCGTGTCCAGTGATGAAGGACGGAACTATACTTCAGTCAGATGAACAGAGAGGTGTAAAAATGTGTATAAACTTTTAGGATGTAACGTTGGTCAAAAACGCTGGATTTGATCAATACGTAAAGATTTGTTTTTCTTTTTTCTCCAAGGTGAGAGAGAATTGAGTGATTGTAATGAAAAGTGTATCCTGATGTTCAGTAGTAGGTAACTGAATAGGATTTTCAAAGTAATCTCTGCTCTCATCGCAAAAACAATTGTCATACTTTCTCAGCACCTGTTGGTCTTGCCTTCAAGTTACTTTCAAGTTACTTTCAAGTTACTTTCAAGTTACTTTCAATCAAAGCAGTACCTGATGAGATTCACAGGGATACTGATCAGTGTGGTGGTGGTGGTGGTGGTGGGGGGGGGGCAGAAAATCATCAAATGGGCACGTTGTGTAAAATGACTGACGAAAGCTAAAACGCTGTAATGACTATAATGAGAGGATAGACGGGCCGGGCTGCAGAGGGAGGAGAGAAGGAAAAGGCCAAACCTCCTCCTCCTCATCAGCATCACATCCCCAGGGAGACTGTTGGACCCTTGATTATGCATTCAGCTTCCCCACAAAAAGCAGCCAGCCTTCACAAAATACAGCTCCGTCAGCCCACTTCAGCACAGCCTGACCTTCAGCACGCGAGCAACTTCAAGATACTCAAGTAAATAAGCGTTTGTCATAGAGTCTTTTGCTGCATTCTCTCTTTTGCTGTGAGTTAAACAGTTGGTTGATTATGTTAAATTATGCTCGCCCCGCTCTTGTCCGTCACAAAGTGCAAATCTCATTTCAGACATTTCATTCCACTATGTCATTGGATCTACTGTAATGTGTCTGTGTGAGGGTTAGAGTCCTGACAGAGGCAGAGACAGTGTAGCACCCTGTACAGAGACATGTCCAGATGGTGATGCCCAATCTGGTCAGGAGGATTTTACCTGTGGTTCATGATTTTAGTGGTATATGGGAAACCGGAGCACCTGAAGGAAACTTATACGCAAACTTTCCTCAGATTGACCCTGTCCCGACTAGGATTGTGACCACACTGCTACGGCACAGTCCAATGTTTAACAACCATCAAATCACCTACCATCAAATCATCTACTGCTGGGACTCTGAGGAGCACAGGGACTGGTCTCCTGCTGGGACTCTGAGGAGCACAGGGACTGGCCTCCTGCTGGGACTCTGAGGAGCACAGGGACTGGCCTCCTGCTGGGACTCTGAGAAGCACAGTGACTGGCCTCCTGCTGGGACTCTGAGGAGCACAGGGACTGGCCTCCTGCTGGGACTCTGAGGAGCACAGGGACTGGTCTCCTGCTGGGACTCTGAGGAGCACAGGGACTGGCCTCCTGCTGGGACTCTGAGAAGCACAGTGACTGGCCTCCTGCTGGGACTCTGAGGAGTAGAGGGACTGGCCTCCTGCTGGGACTCTGAGGAGCACAGGGACTGGTCTCCTGCTGGGACTATAAGGAGCACAGGGACTCCTCTCCTGCTGGGACTCTGAGGAGCACAGGGACTGGTCTCCTGCTGGGACTATGAGGAGCACAGGGACTGGCCTCCTGCTGGGACTCTGAGAAGCACAGGGACTGGCCTCCTGCTGGGACTCTGAGGAGCACAGGGACATGGCCTCCTGCTGGGACTATGAGGAGCACAGGGACTGGCCTCCTGCTGGGACTATGAGGAGCACAGGGACTGGCCTCCTGCTGGGACTCTGAGGAGCACAGGGACTGGCCTCCTGCTGGGACTATGAGGAGCACAGGGACTGGCCTCCTGCTGGTCCCAGAGTCAGGATTTAACATACAGAGGCAGCATTTCCGATTTACGCAGCTACAATGTGGAACACTTCTTGAAAGTTTAAGACAAGATTCAACTCTGACAATACTTATAAATACAAATGAGCAGTGTCTATATGTGTCTTCTCACTCCCTTTTCAAGTAAAATTAACTATTTTTTGTATCTGTTATGCATTGTGTGTTGTGCACTTATGCATGTAAAGCTTTAGAAATGTTCCAAATCCAGAGTTTCTTACTAATACGTAAAAAATGAACCACATTAATATCTATCATCAATGTACCCACAACCCTATGAACACACACAGAAAAAGAATCGTAAATGAACCGGGAAACTCAAAGATGTGGTCTTGAATCGATTTATGGAACTGACCCAAGTTACCAAAGTAACTTTCCTTACAGCCGTGTATTTCAACAATTTACACCCACAAATGAATCTCCGCCGTTTTCAACTGTCAAAATAGTGTTTTTTCGATGACTTTCTCCTCTTCTCTTTCTCATTGAGCTGAGTAATCCTTGATGTACTGTGTATCTTTGTGAGCACTAACGGCCCGTTCCCTCGCAGCAGACTTGTACCAGGTGGAGGAGTGCCTCAACGTCACGCAGTTGCCCGGTGTCATCGTCAGCCCACGCTATCCCGAAACCTACCCTCGCAACCTGCTGTTGTCATGGAAACTGGAGTCCCCACCGGGCAGCCGCATCCGCCTGGAGTTTGACAACAAGTTCCGTTTGGAGGCACCGGTGAGAGGAGTTTGCAGGTAACAGACACTTTGCTAAAGCCTTTGTCTCTGTTCAGCTCAGACTGGGCAAAGAGAAGCAGAGTCTTCCTACATTTTGCATTTATACTTAAAACTGGGGTACCTAACTTTGATTCAGAAAATAATTTAACTATATAAAATCTAAAACTAGTCCCCCACTTTTTTCAGACAGAAAAGTTAGAACTCTCAATCAGCCAACTCGGCACAAAGCGATACATAGTGAGTGACAGGGTTTTTTCAGTGTGCAAAACAAATACAACTGAATAGTGTGACTGTTGACTTGGAATACATTTGATTGTGTGTATGTGTAGGGGTGTGCAACTGTATGTGTGTGTCTGTATGTCTGTCTCTGTGTGCATGTACAGAGTGTATGTGTGTGTGTATGCATGTGCCTGCGTGTAAGGTATGGTAAGGTACACTTTGTTTTTTGCCATTAAGAACTTTGTCCTTTGAACCCTCTGGGACCCGTGTCCAGATGTTGATGCTCGGCTTACTCAGAGGAAACATTCGCAGACACGGGGAGAACAAGCAAACTCCACTCAGAAAGACGGATACGAACCCAGGACCTTCTTGCTGAGAAACTGGATTGCTAACTACTGTGTCACCGCGTGAGTGTCTGTGTGTGTATTTGTGTATGTGTGTTTTTGTGTGCGTGTGTCTATGCATGTGTGAGTGTCTCTCTGTGTGCATGTTGTTGTGTGCATATGCGTGTGTGTGTGTGTGTGTGCGCGTGTGTGTATGCCTCCTGCGTGCATGTTTCCATGCATGTGCTTGTAGTGTGCATTATATGCATGTGCGTGTATGTGTGTGTATTAATGTGTGCGCTTGTGGTATGCGTATGTATGTGTGTTTGCGTGTTTATGTGTGTGTGTGTAAACCTCCTGCGTGTGTGTGCTTGTGACGTATGTGTGTGTGTGTGTGTGTATTTGTGTGTGAGCTTGTGGTATTCTTGGTATGCGTATATATGTGTGCGTGTTTATGTGTGTGTGTTTGCCTCCTGCGTGTGTGTGTGTGTGTGTGCCTGTTTATGTGTGTATATGCATGTTTGTGTGTGTGCGTGTGTGTGTGTGCATCCTTCCTGCGTGCGTGTATCCATGCATGTCCTTGTGGTGTGCATATTATGTATGTGCGTGTGTGTGTGTGTATTTGTGTGTGAGCTTGTGGTGTTCTTAGTATGCGTATGTATGTGTGTGTGTGCGTGTTTATGTGTGTGTATGCCTCCTGCGTGCATATGCATGTGCTTGTGGCCTGCGTAGGTGTGCGTGTGTGTGTGTGTGTGCGTGTTTGTGTGTGTGTGTATGCCTCCTGCGTGCATGTGCTTGTGGCGTGCGTAGGTGTGCGTGTGTGTGTGTATGTGTGTGTGTGTGTGCGTGTTTGTGTGTGTGTGTATGCCTCCTGCGTGCATGTGCTTGTGGCGTGCGTAGGTGTGTGTGTGCGTGTTTGTGTGTGTGTATGCCTCCTGCGTACATGTGCTTGTAGCGTGCGTAGGTGTGCGTGTGTGTGTGTGTGTGCGTGTTTGTGTGTGTGTATGCCTCCTGCGTGCATGTGCTTGTAGCGTGCGTAGGTGTGCGTGTGTGTGTGTGTGTGCGTGTTTGTGTGTGTGTATGCCTCCTGCGTGCATGTGCTTGTAGCGTGCGTAGGTGTGCGTGTGTGTGTGTGTGTGCGTGTTTGTGTGTGTGTATGCCTCCTGCGTGCATGTGCTTGTAGCGTGCGTAGGTGTGCGTGTGTGTGTGTTCTGCCATTAGTCCACAACAGGATTAAAGACAGGCAGAAAGGGGCTGGAGTTTCTCACTTCCACAGAAGGATGCTTGATGCTTGAAGTGTGCTTTCTTGGCGAAAATCAGAAAAACTTTGTCCTTGAAAGTGGAGGAGAGGAAAATATATGTTTTAATCCGAGCGAGCGACTTTGTAGAAGAGAGGAGCAGCAGGAGGGAGAAGTGTGGAGCAGAGAGATGCACAGCTCTGGCCACTGCTTCAAACACTGCTCATTAGTTTTGTGTACGGCAACTTTCCCCTGAAGAGATTTTAGCCGAAGATTCTTGAGCTGCAATTAAAAACATTGTAATGGAAAGTAATCCACTGTTTGGTTTATCAGTCATTTCAGTCACATCTATTCATTATGCCCCAACATTAGCATTCATGAGCCTTCACAATATCATGGCAAGCCGGTTTATTTGTATTGCACAGTTCGAACACAAGGCAACTCAAAGTGCTCAACAAAACAAGATAAAACCATCTAATTCGGCTGCACGGTGGCTGAGTGGATATAGCACTCTCGCCTCTCAGCAAGAAGGTCCTGGGTTCGAATCCTGGTCAAAACAGGGTCTTTTATGAGTGGAGTTTGCATGTTCTCCCTGTGCTTGCCTAGGTTTCCTCCAGGTGCTCCAGTTTCCCCTACCGCTAAAAACATGCTCACTCGGTTAAATCCTCCAGCTCTGGTCCTGACCAAGTCGAGCATCAACAGCTGGAGATGGGTTCCCGGGCGCTGTTACTATGGCGACCACTGCTCCTGACTTAAGCCTTAGTGGCATCAGGATAAAGAAGCTAGTATAACATTTCGAGCTTTAGCATAATAAAGAAGCTAGTATAACATTTCGAGCTTTAGCATACCGAAGAAGGAAGCTACCCTCACTCAGCCAATCAACTATCAGCCCAAAGATTCAAATCAGGAGACGGCGATTTCTTACAGAATGTGTTCTAATGACATGAAGACAGAATGTTGTGAGATGATTATTTACTTTTACAGGACTCTCTTTGTTGGGATACACCGCTTGGATTACTTATGAATCGAAAAAGTGAGGTACCCAAGCTTTAACATCACATAAAAAGTGAAAAGATTTGTGTGACAACAACAAACCAAGGCACACGTGCAATGTAAAAGTCACCACAAACCTTGGGAATCATAAATACTGTATGGGTCATCGATTTTCTGCGTTGCTTGTCTGCATCTCTCTGTGCCTTTTCATTGTATCCTTGTTGGAAATCATTTTGGAAGACCCATGACTTCTTTACATTTCAGTTCCATTGCTCCCTCTTGATTAGACAAAAGCAAGAGACAAGCAAGCTTTCTCCCTATTGGTTCAACTATTCTCTCGGAGTTGTTACCACACAAATAGGGAAATAGCAAATATGTGTTTTTGGCAAATCAAATTCAATGTTTAAATCCAGGTTAAAGACTGTTCTGTTTGCCTGTGCATACAACTGAAGGATTTTTATCTCCATTTTTAATGCACTGCTGTCATTTATTTATTTATTTTTTTTAATTTCTTGTGTAACTTTGAAAGTGTTAATGGTTTTATTCTTTTGTGTGATTTTATTGTTTTTATTGTGTTTTAATCTTTTGTGTGATTTTAATGTTTTAATTGTGTTTTATTCTTTTGTGTGATTTTATTGTTTTTATTGTGTTTTAATCTTTTGTGTGATTTTAATGTTTTTATTGTGTTTTAATCTTTTGTGTGATTTTAATGTTTTAATTGTGTTTTAATCTTTTGTGTGATTTTAATGTTTTTATTGTGTTTTAATCTTTTGTGTGATTTTAATGTTTTAATTGTGATTCTGGTGTTTGTTTTATGTGATGATTTGTGATGTGGACTGTGAAGCGCTTTGTGTTGCCCTGTGCATGAAAGGCGCTCTACAAATAAACTTTGATTGATTGATTGATTGATTGAATGGTAACCACGTGGAAATGGGTCTGGCACTCCACGATATGATGATTTCCTAATGTGGTGACAGACTTTGTGCCTTTAATCCTGCTTTTCTTGCTGCTTTTCCTTTGTGTACATCATTTTTCCCATATATTTTGCCAGGTTCATCCCGGGTGTATTTTCAGTTATCAAGCTTGCTTTTGTTTAATGTTTGTTGATACTTGCCTGATAGAGCCTTAGTCTGCCAGGTTGTACCCTGTGTGCGGAGCCACAATGTAAAAGAGCTCCTTTGGTTTTGGCTTTTTGCATTTTGAGTTCCGCCGTCTTATTTTGACGCTTCCCACACCACCCCTGCTGTAGACCGTACCCTGAGCCTGACTCTTAATGTGTGACTTGTTTTGTTACTGTCATGGTGTGGATTTTTATTTCTGTATTTGGTTTTATTTTGACATTAGTTATCTGGTTTCATTTAAGTTTTACTTCATGTCCTGTTTGCCCCTGTCTTGATTGTCTGCCCCGCCCTGATGTGTTTCACCTGTGTCTGTGTCTATATGTGCCCTGTGCTTCTCTCCCCTTGTTGCTGCTGCATTGTCTTGTCTAGTTTTGTCCTAGTCACTTTGGATTTTTGGAGTTGTTCTTTGCCTTGGACTTTGTTTTATTAAAAGCTTTATTTTGGCATTCCTGCATTTTGAGTCTTCCTCATTTTCACCACGTGACAGTTACGCTGCTATTGGAGTTGCAGTCCTGTATGAAATGTGTAATCTATTTATAAAAGGCTGTCTTCTTTAACAACTGATAACTTGAGCTGTCCAACGTCTCCCATTGACCGGCCTCACAGCCTCACGCCTGCTCCAGGTGATGGAGGACTCGATAGGGTGTGGACGCCGGAAGCACATCCATCTTAAGCATGCACATTAATTAGCATATTCTTTTCAGCTCCTCTGAAAATGTCACTTAAACCTGAATGTAGATGTAACAGCTGTGACGGGCCTCCCACGCACCAATTACAGAGCAGCTACATTAGTCACAATGGCTGCCTCTCACCGCTGCGGTTCTACCTGACGGAGAGCGTTTACATAAGGGACACACTCCACCGGTAACTCTGCACTTTTAGATGTTATCTTTGATATATGTGCCTTGTAATTTATGACACTGCTACTATTGATTGCACTGGCTTTGATAGCGCCTGAAGCTGAAACTAAAGGGTGGGAAAAATGACCCACTTTAGAAAAGAGAGGAGAGGAAATATTCTAATGAGAAAGCGGGATCGAAAAAGTATGAAAAGGAACTGTTATTTTTTTTACATTTTTATTTTTATGATGTAAGTAAGTAAGTAGTAAGTTAGTAAGTAAGTTTTTAT